CTCACTGCTGAAACCGTCATACTCTCGCTTTGTCTCTTCACTCAACGCATCGTCATTGGAAATCAGCGCAATTGTCGCTCGTTACTCGAAATTAGCTCGGCTCGCCGCTTTTTTCTCTCTCCTCTCATTCCCGTTTTTTGCTCGCGAAACGGCGATTGTTCCCCATTTTCATTTCGTGTACTCGCCTACCCCACACATAATTTACCCCAATTGGATGAAAGAAAAGTGAATAAAAAAAGATTGAGAAAATTGTCAGACGACACAGAATTCCCAATTTAATAAAACTTTATGGCGAAAGTAAATGATTTGGAAATAAACGAAAGCTTTTTCCTTTTATTGGATTTAAAATAGTATTTTCGTTCTTTCACTACCAAACAATTTCCGACCCTTCGGGCAAGAAAAATCCGCTTTAATTTCTAAATATTTTTCATTAGCATAGATTTCCAAATTGGACGGGAGTCTGGAGGGCAAGGAAGAAAAAAAGTTAATTAAAACGGCCTTTTTGCGCGCCCCACAAAAAGAGTTATATCGATAGATCTCGGGAGTTCTGGTAAATATTCGAGATTTTCCTGTTTATTTAAAAGATTAAAAAAAGCTTTGAGAGGGAACAAATTTGTTCGATTCTCGAAGTTCCAGCGCCGCTTCCATTTTGGACCTTCAAATTGTTTTGTGAATATTTGATGATGTTAATTTGCATAAATGGACGGATGGGGATGCGTCGTTTCCGGCGGGATCGTAACACCAACCCCCACCCGTGGGTCGTTAAACACTCGCGAAATTGATGCCAACACACATCTTGAGATAAACAGCGAAATTGACCTGTCATGGATTTTCCTGCGTCATTTTAAAGCACTCGAAATTTTATAATTGGTTCCGGAAGTTTTCAAACATTTTCGAATTTTTTTAACGTAGTAAGCAGCGGAGAAAGCGCACCGGGAAATATGGCGTCTTTGTTGGAGAACGTTTTAGAAGATTCGATGGCGTTCGGTAGGACTCGAGAATATTCGAGTTTGCTATATAAGCAAATCTAATTACGTTTGACGACAGCTCCAATTTCATCGCCGAAGTATTACACAGTTCGCGCTGTTGTAAATTGTGTATATGTGAGTGATAAGTAATATTTTTTAACTGTTATGCGACGAACTTCGGTAGTAAGTCCGCGCACAAATGGCATGAAAAATTAAATAATCAGCGGAATAATGCTTACAATTTGATTTAAAAGAAAAATACATAAATTTACAAATTATAGTAACTAAATCATATGAGCGGACGACTGGGGCCGCAGTCATCGGAACGGACGGACGGACGGACTTCAGCGCCATCAAGGGGCACGGCCTTGTTCCTGGTCATGGTCGGCGGTAGAAACGGTTTCGGATAAACTCAAAACGGAAACTCGGACGAGTTCAGCAAATGGCGGCGTTCACTGCGGAAATAAGTACTAAAACAAAGTTACGGCAAACCCCCTAGCGAGAATGAAAGCAACAAAACACAAATTAATTAGCGGTGTTTACGGGAAAGCAAATGCAGGAAAGCGAAATAATAATCCCTCGCCCCCCTTATAATGAATGTTTCAGGAAGTAGCAAAAAGCTTCCTTTGCAATAAAACGGAGCGGCAGAAATTACTCTGCAAGAAACAAAAGATTGGCGATTTGAATACGGTACAACCAAAGTAAATTTACGAAAAGGCTAAAAAAAAATTCCCAAAATACGCAGAGGGAACTCCTTTTGGTGGGTCCAATGTTACGTTGTCCCCAAAGTCTGGAAAGTGGGTTTCCAGGAGACATGTGAGAGCCTTACCCGCGCTAAACTTATATCTGCCGCGTGGAAGACGCCTAACGACTGGTTCGGATACTGTTTATGCAACAAATTTATTTATATAGTGTTAATTGCACTTTATTAATTGACCGGATTGACATTTCTAAAGTCGGTTGTCCAGTAAGGATCATTGTTGATTGGAAGTTCTCAGGTCGGCACGCGAAATAATCAAAACGCGAATTAATTAATTTTTTCCAATACCTACATTGTTTTATTGAATTTAATTCCTAATTTTTGTGCATTAACAGTTAATTTTAGTCCTTAGGGATGAAAAAACTTTTAATCCCTCATTTTTGTTTGTTTTGTGAACAATTCATGGAAAAATGGATTTAAATCGGTGGGTATTGGAAAAAATAGTATAAGCAACACTCGATTAGCCTCGGGCTTTAAACCATTCTCTCAGGAACGTAAACTCTTTTTAATCCCTTGTTACTTAATATACTATTAATTTACTCTAACGATGACGCACGGGTCTGGCTGCGTGATTAACCGGGAATCATTAACAGTTTTACCTAAAAATGCCTACAAAATGCCTTCTTATTAACGCAGACAGCCAGCTTTAATCGTTGCTTAATTTCCGCCTTACAAATCAAATAAAAGCTAAGGTACTCAGTCGTATAGTTTGCACGATGCTGAAATGACCTCATGCCGAATTCACAGTTGTAACCAAGTAGCTAAATCCAAATTTAGAGCTACGGTTGCAAAGGGAACATTTTTGCGGACACGGATGAGTACTAAACAAGTGTAAGAACCACTTTTGTGTTTGTTTGTTAACTTTAAATCCGAAACTTAAAGCGTTCATTATTTCAAGGCGAGCATTCAAACTCACAACGTGGAATAAATTTCTTATCACTTATCGGGGTGAAAGTTGTTAGTATTCGTTAGGATAGTGGACGGTGCAGAAATTCTTTGGTGTTCGCAGCGTATAGACATTTTGTAGTGGTGGATGATTGGGTGAGTTTGATTAGGGTAATAATTAGGGAGCTCTCTTACTGGGTAATTTAGCTTTGCTTAATTAGCTTAATAATGAGATAGATTTTGTTTAGATTTGCCGTTTGGACGCGAAATACTTAGGGATAGAGACTGTTGGGTGACCATCTGATATTTTTGGAAATCTGCCGATATATTTTGATTAATGCGAGAAAAATTGATCTTGCTCTCTTTCTGGTTACATTTGCTAGTAAAAAACCGAGCAAAAACTTCTCACGAATTTAATTGGGAAAACGGTTAAACATGTGTGTCTTGATAGTTAGAAGGAATATTTTAAATAAGTATGTACTTTCTATCTGTCTCATGATTGTTGACAAGATATACTGTACAGGGTGTCCCAATTTCGACGTCCGGATAGAAAAAACTTCAATCCTTGGGGATATTGGGAAGCGGTTTTGATCTATCTCAAATAGTGACGTTTTTGTAAGATATCTCCATGTTATTTTTTACAATATAGAAAAAACACAAGATTATACCTATATTACCCGATTTTCTAGTTATAACACCATATTCTTAAAAATGAGAGAGCCGTTTTTTGAAATGTCCACGTTCCTATTTGAGAAAGATCAATACGTGCAATATGCACCTTTGCATATAAGGGGGTTGAACATTCCATCTCTCAATTAAAAGAGATATTTTTCTGTGACGTGGAAAACACTGAATTCAAATCCCCTTATTGCACTCGCAATGCAGTAACCTAATACGAAAGTTTTTTATAGTCATTCGCGATAACGGAAAAAATACGTCCTTGGTCTTGAAAAATCTTTGAGATATCACCGAAAAACTGAAAATGTCAAAGTTCGTTTTTGTTTTCTCTAGCTTAAACAGTCAGAAATAGACGGTTCGCTTAGCACCTTTTGTGGGCACTTTTTTTGGGAGAACCTGAATCTGTCGTCAGAATTTTCATAACACGCTAGATGTAGAAGCTACAGGCTACTACTTGCTTATGTTTTATGGACGCCATATTGGATTTTTACAGAATGGCAGAAGACAAAGAAAGAAAAATAAAATTATGGATCTCTCGTGGATGTTTTGTTGAGAAATGAATGTAAAACACTTGTCTTCGACAATTTTATTGTAAATTTATGTAAAAGTATGACGTTATTATTTTTCTTGGCTTGAGTCTTTATACTTTCCTTCGAATTAATTTCGATTAAAGGTTCATTGTAGATGAGGGATCACATTTTGAAAGACCATTCTTTTTCCAAAAGCGTTTAACTAAACAGACAAGTTTAATACAATCCTTTTGACACATTTTCAACACCTTTGGAAACGCTATTTCGCTCACTTTCTCTGTCCGTGCGTCCATTCGGGGCTGTAACTACTTGAAATAGGATGTATACCGCATAAACGAATGATATATTGCCTTAAATATCCCGCATACTCCGTGAAGATTACAGGAAGATAAAACCTCCCCATGTGTTACTGTAGGCACTCTAATTTACTAGCGCATGCGCACGCTACTCTGCGTCTCTCTCTTTCTAAAGATAGACATACAAAATATCTGCCAATTTGGCACCTAGTAAAATAGGAACCTACTTCAGCATGGTTACCCCAAAATAAATAAAAGTTACATTAGGAATGAATTTATGAACTGAAATAAAACGCCCCAGCGAAACAAAAAAAACTTCGGCAAATCCTAATAAACTCTCGGCAAGCTCGCATAATTTAAGAAAATTTGCATATCACAAATTTACGACTTTATATGCATACATGAATAATTAGGTTTTCCAGTTTAGAAACTTTGCCATAACTTCATTATGTATATTTTAAAGGAAAATTAACTCTATGTCGATACCTATGTAGAAAGCTGTTTACACCACGGAACATGCAGGTATTGAGCAAACGTAATTAACCTTTATCTAAAAAGTGTAATTTGTTGCGTGGAATTGCATAATTAGATTCGCGTTTTATCTTTTGGCTCCCACATTTTAATCTTGTCGAAATAAACGTGGAAACTCGAAGTTTAATTCAAAAGGGCGCGAAATGGCGAAGATCATTTTTTGTCGAAAGAAGTTAATACGGTGCAGTGGTTGCGCCCTCGGCTCTAATTACGCAGCTTGTTAAGTTGTTTGCTGTCGGGTGTACAATTAATACCCCACCAACCGCTTCGTAATGATTCATTAAAATATAATTAAACGCCCGACGTATTACAAAGAAACGACTTGTTTGTAAAATGCATTTTCTTGTTTCAGGGTTCCGATGCTAGTTCGGTGATATTTGGTGCAGCTCCAGCTTCACGAAAGCACGAATTCCCTGGAGCGTTACCTCCTAGTCTGCCGCTTAGCAATGGCACTAGCAATTCACCAGTACCGGCGCCAACGCCACCAAACCTTCCCGCTCCTTCGCCCGCACCCGCACAACAGCCACCGCCACACCCAATTTCGAACCATCGAACGGGAACCACCACCACTGTCTCTGCAGCGACAGTTGTCAGTACCGTACCCAGTGGCGGTGGTGTAACGATACCCTGCACCACCGTGCCGGTAACGATGCCCCAGCCCGCTGCAGCACCGGTCGCCCACCACCCTCCCGCATTTGTGTCCACGACGAATCATGGAAGAACCGAAAGTCCAGCGGTCGCCACCTCGGCGAACGCGGCAGTTGCACCAAGCGGGAACGGCGCCGCCGGTGGACAATACCACCATCCAACGTATCAGCCCCTCTACGCGCCGTACGCAGTTCATAACACCTACAGCTCGCAATCACCATCGCCGGCGGTTACCGCAAGCACAACAACCGTTCCTAGCTGCCAACAACCGCCAACGACCGCCGTCACCACCGTTCCCGCTATCGTTACCAGCCACAGGGACGCGATAGTCAGCAGAACCGTCTCGCCAAAGGGCCACAGCCCGAGCAGGGAGAGGGAAAGCTATAGGTAACGTTTTCACCTACACCCGCCCGCACTACTACCCTTCTGTTAATTGCTGCCGTTAAACTATTCAACCATTAATGTTACTTAATCCTCTGGATAATTACTCGCTTAGTTGAACGTCTGGTAAACATTATTCTGGAAAATCGATGCTTCTACCATTTCAACGATCTTTTAATAGTAATTAAGCGCGCTTCCTTTCAGAAGCTCGCGAATTAAATTAGGGTTTTTGGGCGTAAAAGCCAATTTCGTTTCAATTTGTGCGTTAACAAATTTTCTTTATATACGAGATGGTAGGAAAAAATTGTTTTATTGAGCTCTAGCAAAAACAGCAAAACATTCTAGAGGTCTTGTTATATTCTTTACCGACGGACAGACGGGTAGAATATTTGTTGCACTTGTAGAGCACGTACGCTTTCAGTCAGGGATCGACGGACAGATGCTGCAAAATCTCTTTCATGGCACGTCTCCAGTCAGGTGGTGTATTTAAAGAAATGTGCATTCATTGACAAAAGTAATGATCGCCTAATAGGTAAACTCGGCAGCATATACAACGAGATATACAACCAACATGCCTACCGCATCGGGCACCTTAATTGCACAATATAATCAAATGTTGGTTGCATATGCTGCAGGATTTACCGATTCGGGGATCATTACTTTTGTCAATGACTGTACATCGAAATAGCCTTGTTTCTTTGCTGCAGAAGCAACTGGGAGTGGTAGGAACTATTCTTCAATTTTATTTTTAGAGCCACTCAATTAATGTTTTGTTTCATTACTTAGACTAAAGAGTTTGATTAATTTCTCTATATCCAGAACTAATATGACGCCCCTTCTATGACCTCGACACAAATCTACCGAGTACTAGGGATACAACCCGTAAGGTTCTAATAACAATTTACGCGAAGCTTCCAAATCTCGCCCCACAAAGTTGCGAATCTGGATTCGGGATTACGATACAAGGGTGGACAGGGTCCACGCGTACTTAGGCCTTACATTCGGCCTTTTGTATTACCTCTCTGACTAGGGTCGTCCGACCCCTCCACGTCACTCGAGCCATCCCCCACGTGAGATGAACCTCCAAACTGCTTTCTGCAAGCCAACCAAACGGATGTCCCGATTTTAACCAATTTCCATCAAGCAACAACTTTCAAATCGCCGTCTTGCCTCTCCAGAAAGATCTCGAGTCGTGCAAATTCCGAAAACTCGCGAAGACAAAGCAAACCAATAATCGTACTACACTTTAAAATCACAACCAACCGTTACAGGGTGTATTCCATACCCCCTTGCCCCCCAGAACCCCGGTTCTACATTCTTCTCTAAGAGGGATACATTCCTTAGCACTAACACATTTTTTTTTTTTGGGAAAGAGTGGTTATGACTGCCGTTTCCATAGAGAAACTAGTATTGGGGAGTACGGAATACCGCCCAGGAAAAGACAGAATCAATCGTCATTACCCTACAATGGTCGTAAGATATTCGTATATTCGTCGGGGGGTATTCCATACACCATGGACTCCCGGGTGTTGCGTTTTCTCTCTCGAAAAAAAGATATTGCGTTAGTGTTAAGGGCTCTAAACCTCTTAGGGAAAAATATCGAACCGGGGGGTCTGGGAGATATGGAATACCCTCCAGTATACGAATATCTTACGACCGTTGTAAGGCAATAAAAATTCTGTTTTTTTTTGGAAAAAGTGGTTATGGCTGCCGTTTCCAGAGAGAAAGTAGTATTTGGGGGGTACGGAATACCACCCAGGAAAAGACAGAATCAATCTTCATTAACTTACATGGTCGTAAGATATTCGTATATTCGTCGGGGGGTATTCCATACACCATAGACCTCCGGATGTTACGTTTTCTCTTTCGAAAAAAATATTGCGTTAGTGCTAAGGGCTCTAAACCTCTTAGGGAAGAATGTCGAACTGGGGGATCTGGGAGATATGGAATACCCCCAGAGTATACGAATATCTTACGACCGTTGTAAGGCAATAAAAATTGATTCTGTTTTTTTGGAAAAGAATGGTTATGGCTGCCGTTTCCAGAGAGAAAGTAGTGTTGGGGGGTACGGAATGCCACCCAGGGAAAGACAGAATCAATCTTCATTACCCTACAATGGTCGTAAGATATTCTTATATTCGCCGGGGGGTGTTCCATACACCAAAGCCCCCGGGTGTTACGTTTTCTCTCTCGAAAAAAAAATATTGCGTTCGTGCTCTAAACCTCTTAAGAAAGAATGTAGAACCGGGGGGTCTGAAAGATATGGAATACCCCCTCCCCCCTTATACGAATATCTTACGACCGTTGTAAGGCAATAAAAATTGATTCTGTTGTCCTACAAGGTATTCCATACCTCCCAGACCCCCCGGTTCGACATTATTCTTTATAGCTGAACGTTCCGAGAAAGAACTTAGCACCGGGAAGGTCTGAGGGGTATGGAATGGTATACGAATATCTTATGAGCCTGTAGGGGAATGAAGATTGATTCTGTCTTTGTTCTCTGGGAGGTATTGCAGCCCCCCGGTTCTACACTCTTCTCTAAGAGGTTTAGAGCACTCATAATTTTTGGAAAGTCTATAGCTGAACGTTGCGGGAGAACGTAGTACCCATCAGGGATCTACACCCCACAGCTCGCTCCCCAGTGTAAGAAGATCTTATGACCGTTGTACGGTAATGAAGATCGACTCTGTTTTTTCCTGGGTGGTATTCTCTACCCCCTCTCCCCCAGTACTACGTTCTCCCTCAAAACGTTCAGCTATAAATACTCTTACCAAAAAATATTGTGTTAATGCTCCTTACAAATTGAATTTTAATAAAACGCGTTTGCATTAGGACCTGATTTATCTCACCATAAGAACAATATAGGGGTGTGTTTAGGGTTTGTATTTGTGGTTTGTGCTCAGGCGTCTGCTTTTGGCTAGGACATAACCTGTCTCATTATATAATGCAAGGGTATAATATTTCGAGATCCATCATAAGTGTTCCAATAACGAATATTCAGGAAAAATAATCACATTTGGCATTTAGCCATAGTAAACTTCACAGAATATGATAATAAAATATTCGGATAATATGTACTCGAACATGAAGAGGGTGGAGAAGGGGGGGGGGGGGGGGGGGAAATATAACATTAAATCTTTCTTGACTTATGGGTCAAGCGACGAGTTCCATAGCCAGCTGCAAATCATTTTCAATTAAAATAGCAAAATCAAATCAATCTCGAAGGGTTAATTCTATGGACCTCAATCAAAGACCATTTGAAGCTCTTTGCGAGGTTAACTCGTCTAACCTTCATTTTTGCACAGAGGGGTCGGATCTGAGAAAAAAAACATTCACGAAACTAAACCTAATCAGGGGGAATAATTCTTATTCATATGCTCTGTCAGTTCTGAAACCGCTTTAATGGTAACTATGGCCAGAAGGCCTTCGAAAACCAAGTATGCTTATTTTTCAATAAAGGCGTCATCAATTACTAATTAATAGAAGATGATCGTAATACAAGAACTAATATTTTACGCCCCCACATAAAAGAAAACACTTCCATTCATCGTACAAGCACGACACGACAACATAAAATATACATATAAAAAATATACAAAAAAATGGAGAAATTCATCATTCAATATTTAGAAAACTTATGAAACCTAGCATGCCGTGTGCTGTCAGGATGCACGGTGTCTATTGTGTTATACGGGTAGATCGTATCGCATAAAAGTAGATCTACACAACGAAACAATCAATAAGTTGATGTATCTGTGATAGTCATGCTAGATTTGCCTATTTCTTTTTTACTAGGTATTAAATGCTGAGATACGATATTGTGTCCATCAACTTATGCCTTTTTCTGCCTGTCTGTCAGTCTATTCTTTAAAAAAAGGTAATAATCCACTTATACAAAGACTATATTGGTATAAGGGTGCTAATTTATTGTTTTTGCAATGCAACACAATGGCAGTTCTTAGCAGAAGTGAAAAAGGGTACTAGTTCTGATTAACATAATGCCCGCAACTTCAAGTTATTTTATTTTAAAAAGTATGTTGTTTACAGCAGTAACGTTAGCAGTTTAAGTAGAAGTAGTGTAACACCAATAAGTTGTCCGCCGCCCACTTCAGTCTCATCTAGTCTGGCTTTACCCAAAAGTTGGAGTGGAGCCAATTCACAGTTAAGTCCCGCACCCCCCCGACCCACGCCTCCCTTACACTCGTCGTTTCCCTCGCCAATGTTCGCGGCACCATTGCCTCCGCCTGTGACGAGCGCGAGTCCGTTAACTTCGACCATCGCACCTCCTCCGCCGAACCCAAATCCCTTCTCGGCCGAAAGTCTCTTTCAATCAAGTAAGTTCTTACGTCCCTCGTTTAATTAAAAAAATGTTCATTACTTTCAAATTGCAGATCAAGCAGACATGCTACGCCGAGAATTAGATAATAGATTTTTAGCCTCACAAGATCGAAGTTTAAACATCGGTCCTCCGCCTTATCTTCGTGCCGAAATGCACCAACATCAACACCATCACACACACGTGCACCAGCATACCACATCAATTTTACCGCCGCCTCCCCCCTCGGCATCGACGCTGTTCCCGTCACCATTGGTAAGTAACCCCATTCCTCCGACAATCGATTGTGCTAAATCATCGATCAGTTTAAGGATATTCCAAAATTGGGCACCATGGATTCGCCATTTTATCGTCAAAACATCGGCTTGCCCGGATATCCGACGTACTCGTCAAGTCTCCTGCATCCAGGCTTAACGGGCCCGACGCCTTTCGTTCCACCGAACCACCTGCCGCCGTTTCAGCCGAAGGTAAAGGTATATTGTATCGCAACAATAATAGTAAACTATCATCGCCACGAGCCCGTTACGATAACACCATGCCTAGGCATGTCTATAATCAACTCATAGCATGCGCGCTAAACCTAAGCCTCCTCCCTAATTCTGAGTTTCTTTGTCCGCAGCCTACGCCACCGCCTGACCCTACTAAGCCTAAGATTGTGGTAGGTATCGCCTTTTGCTTTAGCTTTTTTCGACCGCTTTAGCGAGACATAAGTGGAAACTAACGTTTCGTTTTGGTACAGAAAGCAGGAAAATGGAACGCGATGCATGTACGAGTAGCGTGGGAGGTCTACCATCACCAGCAGAAAGAGTCGAAGGGTAGCTCGGTGAAGCCGGATCTTCTCCGTACGCCCTCCCACCTGTTTCCGCCTAGCGTTCCTTTCTCGCGTCACCACGATATATCGTTCCCGCCGAGTTTGAGCACGCATCGTCCGCCGACGTTCGAGCAGCCGCATCCTGGTCTCTTCGGATCGGCAGGACCCCACATAGGTTTGTATTATTATCGCCATCCCAGAAATTTGGACGAAAAACCATAATTGATTTTCTGGAATATAAAGTCTGGGAAGAAGTTCGTTGTGGCCATTAAACAGTAGCGCTCTTGTGTAAAATATCCGAGTCACTTTTTTTAGCCAACCAATTACGCACACGGAGTTTCAACGACATAAAATATTTTACCTTTCAACTACCGGGTCGCAACCTCTCCGAGCTCAGAAGGGCGCTTTCTGCCAGTGATCTGCAATCAGATAAAATCACAAAATAAAAGAGCGGGAGTGGTAGTGTGGCATGTAAGTGCGAGCAAAATCTTAACGTTTGTGACGTTGGGTAACTCTAATACTGTAATCGACACTTAATGAAATCAATAAGTAAAGTAATGGCGTATTAGATTTTACAAATGAACAGCACGAGAGAAAAATCTTCTCTAAAGTAACAAGCAACGCACCCTCGAAAGGCCAACAAAGATCAAGAGACAGGGAAAAATACAAAAAGGTACATTCGGATGACCGGATGATTTTTTGAATTTTTATTTCTTTTAAGTATAGGAAAGTTTACATATATACCGCTTTATGCGAAAGGTGAACGCGAGTTGGGTGTAGTGATAAACGAGCGATAAGACGAGCGTGCGCTGTTGCCGTGATTACGTTAGTCGCGGCTAGAAGCGAAGTTGCGTAGAATCATTCGGAGTTCCGTTTCGGTTTTTTACGTGGGCAACTACATATAGAGAATTAGAAAGAGAAAAGAGTGAGTTAACCCAAGTTCAATCGCGCGGTTTTAACAGAGATCGCCGTGGTCAAATAGTGCTGGAGAATAAAATCCGCCGTACCAATTCTTGTGGATAGGGAAATACATATGAAGCGTCTGTGTAAAAATTGTGGGAATAGTCAAAAACGTAACGCAGTTCTCCCATGTTCTAAAATTCCGATAAAAGCGATCCGTTTGAGTGTAGCACGTACGCATACTCATCAGTACAAGTAATATTAACTTTGACGTTACAAGTAAAGAGCCATTTTTAAATTGCGATCGTGTACATGCAAATGCACCAGACGCTGAGTGACCTCATTGCGAAGAAATGGTGCCATAAACAAACTCTCCATCGCAACACGATTTTAGTTGAAAATCAGAGGCGTAAATAGTATTTAACGTGGCATTTTGCGTAACGACACACTCAAATAATAAGCAGAACAATTAGCATGTGCAGGGTAGGTGCAGTTTGGGTTTTTATTATTTCTGTGCACTAATACTCATAACTCTCGTTATTTCTTTGAGAATTTGACGCAAGTTTTGAATGCGGTCGAGGTAAGTACAAGCTTCATATAATTGTACGAGAGTGGGCTTCTTAAAGGCGATTCAGTTGTCAATTTTTCTTGGAGGGAGCCTTTTTCAAGGGAGGGCCGGACCATTTGTAACCTAAAGAAAATCACCGATTCCAGCGATTTCTGTCAGTTACTTTCATTTTTTTAATTGTATCAAGTATTGGTCGGTTATCTTTAGGAATTTTGCAGTGGGTATTTATTTAACGTAATGATAATATTCTTAAAGGAACCAAGGAATGTATTGTGCGTAAAAATTTAGTTAAGAGAAATTAGAACGTGGCCACGAGATAGGGGTTGTATTTGCTGTATTTATAGGAAACAAATTAATATTCTTAATGGCGGTTAGCTCATGGTTTGGTTTAACATTGTGTTGTATTTCTTCCTATACTTTATAGTCAATTACTTAAACAAAAATTTCTCGTTATAAATTATATAAATTTGGCTGCCAACCACAAGCAAGTGTCACTGACTTTTTCACATTTACTGATCTGTATCAATTGCAGGTAGTACAATTTCGCCATTTGCAAGGTACGGTGCGGGATATACAGCGGGTAGTTCTCCGTTTGGCGTTTCTCCATTGGTGAGCGCCAGAGATTTATCGCTGGGTCCCTTGCACGATCCTTGGAGAGGACTGCAGCGTACCGTTCCCGTATTTCCTCCCAGCGTAAATGCGTTACCGCCGAGCGTAACCGGGCTGCCTCCGCCGGCGCCGTGGTCGCTAAAGCCGGATCCCATCCTGGAGCAGCGAGAGAGGGAGGAACGTGAAAGGGCAGAAAGAGAAAGGGAGAGATTGAGGAGAGAGCGCGAAGAGAAAGAGCGAAGGGAACGGGAGGAGAGGCAAAGAAAATTAGAGCAACAGGTAACACAACATTAACGTTGAGGTCTTTACTCATTTCGCCATTTTAGCAACAACAAGAGCGGGAAAGGGAGCGGGAGAGGAGAGAGAAAGAACGAAGAGAGCTTGAAAGGAGGGAACTAGAGCGACAGCAAGAGCGTGAGCGTTTATTACACCAACAGAGGCTAGTAGAAAGCAGCAAGCAGCTGGCACCGTCGATTCTACGCGATAGATCGCCTTTGCGCAATGGCACCATGGACCCTAACGACATCCGAGTGAAAGAAGAGCCTCGTATCAAAGAGGAAGACCGCTACCATCCGTACGTTCGACAGCATCCGGCCTTGCAGCACTCGTTGCCTCACATGCTGGACCGCTCGCGAGTTTTACCGCCCTACCCGCCTCCGCCGACCACGCACTGGCCGCCGTCGCCCGCGGAACACTACTACCGAACGTACGACCCCCTTAGGTACAATCCGCTAATGGACGCGGCGATTCGCGCCGAAGAAGAACGGGCGAAACTATTCGGCGCATACGCGCACCATCAGCAATTTCGCCCCAAAGATCCCGGCCTTCTACACTTACGCGCGAACTCCGGACCCGGACCTCCGCCGCCGACCCATAAACTATGTCCGACACCTCCGACAGATTTGCACAAAAAGGAGGAGCCCCGATAGCGACAGCTGTGATGAGACTGTTTTTACGTACGGGGGGTTTATTGTGTGTGTGCGCGTGTGTGTCTGCATATTTTTGGTTTCTTAGAACGGACCCGTCGACATTTTTCTTCACTATCGACCAGAAATATTGGCACACGTTTTGATCTCATTCGTATAAGCGTAATCAAAACAGGGGTGCCGCCCCGCAAAATATTTTTACAAGTGGTTTTGTATCTGGACAGTCTGAATGTTTTAGTATTATTATGCATTGTGTGTTGCCAAGCCTTTCAGCCTACCCAGGACCAGCTGCTGAACTGATGGGGCCCCACATTTTTAACACTGTAGAGCTTACTGTGATAGTGTCAGAGTTGTATTTGAATTTGGATTTTTAAAAACGAAAGCACATGCCCACTTTATAAGTAAGTAAGTGTATATTTTTGATATATGTCTCTTCGAGAATGATCGGCTCAATTTCTTGTCCGGCTAGTATGGAACGCCGTTTTACTATTTTTTCCGAATTATATTAATTCTGTATAACAAAATGTTGAATTGCGAAAAACACATTTAAATGCTTATTATTCCTAAACAGTTTAAATCTGTGCAAAACTAGTCATTTTTATGTGCCTACAAACGTGATGGTGAGGTGAACTAAATAGTGTAGCAGCGTTCCATAGGCTAGTGAGGCGATCAGGCGACATTCGACGGAATTGTGGGGATCATTCGTGTGATAATTTAAAAAAGTAATCAAAATATAATTTTGAAAGTGAAATGTTGAATTTGGGGGCTCCAACGATTGCAGCCTTATCATCTGCCTCTCGAGTGTAAATATAATTGCTTCTGTAATATTATACCCAGTGAGTAGCACTCTGTCGGGTTATGTGATTCGATCAAAGTGTTTGTATTTATTCGAAAACCGTTATTTATTGCCTTAGTCGCCGATTTTTCCTCGTACAGAGTAATTCACCTACGCTCCTTTCCTTGTCACGAAAATTCAGAATTGTCTCCATGTGATATCTATAAAGGCACATCGTCTTTGTCACTGTAGCACACAATGTATTTTATTTTTAAAAAATGCTCCGTATAAAGGGGAAACGTGCTATGAAAGGGAGCTGTTTAGGTAACTTATCCTGTATTTACCTATTCTTTATTTATACCTGTAAACTACATATTTATTTATTGAGTGTTACGTCACTCGCCACTGTATTCATAGTAGCCGCACATAGAGGTGTAAAATTAAAAATGAAATGCTCTAGTTAGTGCCAAAAGTTTCGGGAAGAGGACCAAAATAACATCTTCATCGTGATCATTGCTAAACTTCATTTGAATCGATATGGTACAGTGGCGAATGCGTTTGAGCGAGTCACGTAACGGCCTCGAGGCGGTGACGTGTAGCGTTTAACGTTACTTTTAGGTAAGCTCAACCATACTCGCATGTAGATATATGACGCCTTCGTGACAAACATTTCGATATTTGTAGATAATCATCGTGCTCTATTTAATGTTTGTTAGGAAACAATTTTTTATGTGTACGATTCTAAAAGAATCAAGTGATGTAATATATATTAATAAATATTGTTTCTATAATTTAGAAACATTAGTCATATTAATGTTTTTATTAAGCTCTATTATTATTACTATTATCATCTTTGACAGGATTTCAGTCGCGCAAGAGTTGGTCCAAGACTTTTTCCTTCCCCTAACAGCAACGAGCTGAGGCTGATGGGTCTATACGCCTTGGGTAGGTCAAACTGGACGTGCAGACCAGGTTTGTATGAACACCACATTCATCTCCTGCACGTTCTGGGTATGAGGTAAATTTTATTCCAGAACATAATAATACTATTTGCGTATTATCAATAGTGCTTTACACTAAGGTATGAGGTAAATTTTATTCTAGAACATAATACTATTTGCGTATTATTTTCGCGAAATTGGAGCTAGTTTGTTGGAGATCGCAATACGTTTTTGCTTGACGTTAGCAGAGTAGTGCCAAAAGTCCATGCATCATCGAAGCGGTCTATTTCCGCATTTTTTAAAGGGATAGGTATTTTTCTGGGGAGAGAGAGAGGGGTTCAATTGTAACCCGAACGGAAACTCACTTGCATTGTATAAATTAGTGGTCGGTTATTTTTAGGAATTTGTATATTGATTTTGCTTAAAGTACCGATATTCCTGAAAAAATCAACCTATGAGAACCATTGTATAAAAATTTCAGTTATTTTGTTTTAATGATTTTATTTCCATTTAATTTCAGTGTTACCCTTCCCTTTATGTTTAGCATTGAGGAGAAGTTTTACATTTCCACAGGAGAATGTACCAATAATTTGTTGTGAAGGTAAAATCTCATAGATAGGGAACAAATTTAACATGGAAGTAGGCAATGAGTTTTATGAATCAAACCAATATTAAGTTTTCAATGTTAGTAATATACCTTCTTCTGTCACCTAATTCCATAGGAAAGAAAGTGTAAAAATGTGATCTTTATTAGAGAGACACAAGTCTCAAAACGGATTACATCTTTTAATAAATACAACTAGAAGATTTTAGAGCTTATTTACGATACCACATATTAATTGTACTCATCCTTTTCACCTTTTTCTGCAACTGTAACACACCATACAATAGAGCCTCAGCAGTAGGAGGACAACCAGGTACGTAAATATCGACCGGAATAATGCGATCACAACCTCTACAATGCAAGACAGCGTGAGAAGATTACATTAGCATAAAAAATAGTGTTACCTAACTACCGAGTAAGAATAATGGTAATATCCACCTCCGTTAGCGCAACTGCCCATAGAAATCACCCATCGTGGCTCCGGCATTTGATCATAAATTTTTCTTAAAGCAGGTGCCATTTTATTCGTAAGCGTACCAGCTACTATAACGACGTCCGCCTGACGTGGAGACGCACGGAAAACCACCCCGTACCTGTCCATGTCGTATCGCGGTGCCGCAATGTGCATCATCTCGACCGCGCAGCACGCCAAACCGAAAGTCATCGGCCATAGCGAAGTTTTGCGGCCCCAATTCAGCAAGTCGTCCAGTCGTGCAAACGAGTACTCGGCAAGATTGCTGGTCTTTTGAAAGGGGGAGTAGTAACGTTCGGCCGGCTTCGTCTCATCTCTATTTGCCACATTGGTCTCCGGTTTGGTTGATTGCAATCTGTAGGTGACGCTGAAGTGTCCTGCGAGTAGCTTTGCAGCATTGCTGGAAGTCAACCCCGTAGCGCAGGGGGTTATTGCTGACCGCAACATCTACAACTTAAATTTAATTTAATTCAACAGTCGTACAAATGTACCAGTGAAGTGCGTTTAATCTCCTTGGAAAGAACTTATTTACAGATATTTACGTAATTCATAACAACTTAACCTAACTTATGATAAAAATAGCAGTAGGAAAATTTGGTTTATGGTGTTGGTAGCCCACACCGAATATCACTAAGCAGTGGCGTAACAATAATAATTACCCGAAAGTTTTTTCAACGAAATTTTTTCACAGTAATAAAATGAACATACTGTATATATCCTCACTGCATTGAGATAAAACTAAAAGGCCCAAAACATTGTTGTAAGCTCTGTTTTTATTCGATGAGGAAACACAAAGTAAACCCATTACCAAGCGCCAAGCCTCTCGTTGGAGGACAAGTGACCAAGCAGAAGCTAGGAAAGGCACTCAGTTGTGGTAGAGAAGCTACAAAAACCAACAGCATCAGGTTGGGGAATGCACCGGATAAGCATCCTATTACAGACTCTATGTATAATGGCATCCCGAGAAATTTTGGGGTGGTCGATTACAAGTCTCAGATCGACACGAAAAAAAAATTTTCTTATACCTAGACTGTGGCCTGTAGAATCCATAATTTCAAACAGTTCCAAGATTGAACTACTAGTTCAAAAGTTACAGCCCTTTGAATTTTCTTTCGAAATTGGTTCTAGTCTATAACTTTTGATTGAGAAGTCCGATCGAAAAAGTACGAATTGTTTTGGATTCTACGCACCAAAATTAATAAGAAAAAGTGTTTTCCCGAGAAATTTTGGTGTAGTCGATTTTTGGTAAAAAAGGAAGGTTGTACACTGCCTTTTTTTTGCCTCGAAAAAAAAATTGTCTCAGATCGACCCAAAAAAAAATTTTCTTATAGACTGTGGCCTATAGAATCCATAATTTCAAACAGTTCCAAGATTGGGCTACTAGTTCAAAAGTTACAGCCCTTTAAATTTTCTTTCGAAATTGGTTTCTAGTCCATAACTTTTGATTGAGAAGTCCGATCGAATAAGTACGAATTGTTTTGGATTCTACGCCCCAAAATTAATAGGAAAAGGTGTTTTCCCGAGAAATTTTGGTGTTGTCAAATTTTGGTAAAAGGGGAAGGTTGTACACTGCCTTTTTTTTTGGCCAGAAAAAAAAATTGTCTCAGATCGACCCGAAAAAAATTTTTCTTATAGACTGTGGCCTATAGAATCCATAATTTCAAACAGTTCCAAGATTGGGCTACTAGTTCAAAAGTTACAGCCCTTTAAATTTTCTTTCGGAATTGGTTTCTAGTCCATAACCTTTGATTGAGAAGTCCGATCGAAAAAGTACGAATTGTTTTGGATTCTACGTACCAAAATTAATAAGAAAAAGTGTTTTCCCGAGAAATTTTGGTGTAGTCGATTTTTGGTAAAAAAGGAAGGTTGTACACTGACTTTTTTTGGCTCGAAAAAAAATTGTCTCAGATCGACCCGAAAAAAAATTTTCTTATAGACTGTGGCCTGTAGAATCCATAGTTTCAAACAGTTCCAAGATTGGGCTACTAGATCAAAAGTTACAGCCCTTTGAATTTTCTTTCGAAATTGGTTTCTAGTCCATAACTTTTGATTGAGAAGTCCGATCGAATAAGTACGAATTGTTTTGGATTCTACGCCCCAAAATTAATAGGAAAAGGTGTTTTCCCGAGAAATTTTGGTGTTGTCAATTTTTGGTAAAAGGGGAAGGTTGTACACTGCCTTTTTTTTGGCCAGAAAAAAAATTGTCTCAGATCGACCCGAAAAAAAAAATTTCTTATAGACTGTGGCCTGTAGAATCCATAATTTCAAACAGTTCCAAGATTGGGCTACTAGATCAAAAGTTACAGCCCTCTGAATTTTCTTTCGAAATTGGTTTCTAGTCTACCAAAACGACCTTCTCTATAACTGGAAAATAATACATCGTGGGCAGCATCGCGGTTATTTTATGACATGCTCCCCATCCCCACACATTCATAAGCTATCATCATCAAGTTTCATAAGGCGGTGCGGTGCAATACACAAATATGATCATTTGTTATAAGTTTTCTCCAAAAGCTAACAGTACAGTACGGTAAGTTGCTTTCAGCAAATTATATAATAATTTACACGTGGTTTCTTTATTAGCCAATTACCTACCTATTAATGATGGTATGAACTAATTGAGAAACCATGTTGTTGACGAGGCTTTTAATAGAAAAGCTATGGTGCAGCAGATAATTTTATCGAGTTTAACCTCCAGAGTGTATCAGTTAATGAAAATACAACATTAATGTCCCCTTCCTCAACTATTTGCTTCACTTTAATTGAAAGTAGAGAGTGGGTCCCGTTTGCGCGTAATGTCGTTTTTAAAGGATTTCGTGAAGAATGGCCGCAAAATATACGGCGCCGCCTTAAATTATAAGTAAGTACTCACGGCAGTCATATTTGAAACTTAATTACTACGTTCAATACAGAAACCCATCGGGTGATGTTGCGAATCAGATCAAAGAGCCCGTGCTATTTTTGAAGGCACCTTCCGATTACATTACCGAAGGCCGCTCCATTGTGGTGGGTACACTGATAATTGTATTCTCCGACTCGAATTTAGTTACATAGATTCCACGTGGATATTCCTTAGTGGAGGAACTGGAGTTGGGGGTTATCATTGGAAAAACTTGTAAGGATGTAACCGTCGAGGAGGCTTTGGATTACGTTGGAGGATACTGTATTGCCTTAGACATGACTGCCTCCAGTGAGTTGGTAAGCACAATGGACCACCATCATTTAGCATGTAGCCCCACGCGCATTCTTATAGAAAAAGGCCTTGTCACAAAAGATGCCTTGGACAACGTCGAAAACTTTTGATACGTCCTGCCCGGTAAGCGCCTTTATCCCTAAGGAAGCCATACCCGATCCGACTGATGTGGAACTGTTTTGTACGATCAATGGTGTACCTCAACAAAACGGAAATACCAGCGGACTGGTGTTCTCGGCAGCCGAATTGATTAGCTTCATATCGCGGTACCATACTTTGGAACCGAACGATATGATCTTAACTGGTACTCCGCCTACCCCTGCTGGTGTTAAACCGGGTGACGTTATTCGGGGAGGTATTAAGGGCGGCGTTACTGTGGAGTTTCGTGTAGAGGACAAGTAATTAAAAAAATAATAGAAAGATGTTGATTTCGCCGAGTACCTATACCTATCCCAATCTCGAGTCTAAGGTGACACCTACTGGACAACTGAAGTTGATGGTGTTGGTGTTCTTAGAAATACAACCTATATTTTGCGCCCATTTCTCTTACCCATGCTACAGAATACAGGGCTTCGTTAAAAAGGGGAAGCTTTTTCCTATACACGACAAAAAGCTCCTAGCAGTTGATACCGCCAAACATTAACAAAGAAAAGCGTTAATCCCCCGTGAACTCAGGAGTACGTAGTATTGGTCCACTTTCTCTCTGTAAATTGTTAGCTTCTCTTTTAGTGCAACAGTGGAATTGGAGAGTGTATCTATAGACTTAACTCAGCAATATCTATCTCTTTAAAAGACATTTTATGGTCTTTTATTTCAATGATAAGGATAGATAAGTGAAACAGACGACTGTGCATTCTAATGACATCTGTTATTCTTATTTCAAATGCACGATATAAAATGACGTTCAGTATATATGACAATTCTAAATATCCCGTTATCGTCTTATATAATAAGTAACTATGTTTTAAGTTATTTATTTATGAAACAAATGCATATGGTGTTAAACCTTAGACAAACACAGACATATGACACTTCCACGACGTTGTCGGTAACGAGGGCGTAGCCAGATAGCACTTACAAATTGATTCCCATTGCACCTCTGAAGGGCTGTAAATGGCTTTTGATCGCAAAGCTCCCTTGGCAGTTTCCAAATCCTAAAAGGCGTTCACTATACGCTGAAATAGAGAAAAAACCCGCAGTACTGACCTTTAAAATAGACTTATTCCTTGTAACAGCTTCTTGATGGGACGGATATTGGCGACGTTCTTGAATATCGCTTCCATTGTGATCTTGAACAGATCTGAAGGGAACGCGATCAATAATAACTAAGACATAGGACCGTTACCTCAACTGAAGAAGCTTATTAATTTCACTTTCTTGTATTTGATACTTCTGCAGAATTTGTTTCACTTCCTCGTCCAACATATTTCTGACTTGGGTCAATAATTATGTTGACAGGCACGGTTTGTGGTTTCCTAGGTGATATATGCAAGGAGCATGTGGTCAAAAACTTTAGGAATTAAGGGCAACAGGTATTGGTATTGCAACCGATAAGCGTTATCATATTACGCATTGTTAGTAGAAAGTATGTCATTTATTTCACGGTTGAGTAACACTGACAGTTTTTACAAGGTTTTGTTTTGTTAATAACCAGTCCATTAAGTGGTGCGAATTGTTATAGTGTTAATGTGGGTACTTTGCCAACTTGAGCCGCGCGGGCAAATTTTGCACCACGGTTTTGTTCGTGAGGCTCGAGTTGTTAAATTGATCCCGAAAAGAACAACGCATGTTATTTATTAAACGTTTACTGCGATAATCAGTACGTACTTACATTATTTTTACATGCCAACTTTACTTTATAAAAATATAAATGATCGCGCATCTTAAGGAGAAAATGCTTGATGCCAAGAACTAAGGAAGACAGTCGACCAAGGTAGGTAATTAAATACATATAGTTCTCAGAGTAGAAAAGTTCTCGAACCCTGAGATTCTTGCCATGTTAACACATTTTTGGTAAAGAAAAAAAAAAGATTTATGACAAATAACAATGTTAAGTTAGCGTGCGAAGGCTTAGTGTTTAATACTGATCACTGTGTCTGATTCTACTAAACTGGCGTACTTCGTTTGTGCTGAGGTGCGGAATAAACGTGGTGACTTCAAGGGGCAAATAAACTTAAAACAATTTTTTACAGTAAGCTACCTAACTTGTTGCACCAACGAGTTGGTCCCTCAGCAAAAAACGAAATACAAATACCTAGAACCATCGCCTATTTATTAATGATTTTAGGAGAAATTGAAATAAGCACTTCGTTAGTTAGGTTTGTGTACTTTATAGAGCAGACCAAAAGAATCTTACATTAAGCCTTAGTTGGAAAAGTACACAGGATAAAAGAGATATAGATAAATCAAATAAATAAACAATTTCGTATTTGCTAGTATAAAGTACACTAAAAGTAGAGTTAGACTCATGCGTCAGTCACAGAATTTCTTTATAACAATTTAAGCTTGTTAAATTCACAGTCCTTCCTCACTAACCAGCTAGATTCACTAAAATTTAACAGAAACTTGAAGTCCTTTTACACATAGTGAATACAAAGAAGTGATATGTAGCGTATATGTACAAAAGATGAACACAAAAGGAAAACTTTAGGCGTCTTTTCAACATTTTCGGAAATGTACAATAGAAAAATGGGGTTACATTCTTACAATAATACATTTGCTAAATTTTCGGGATTATAGGTACATGCGGAGGTTGCCTCAAAATATATCTAAAGCCTATTTGATATCTTACATAATTATTACATTTCCTGTAACAAGTTCACGGTACAAAGTGGACGACTCACATTTTTCTATTTAATGTCAATTATATTCCAACCGTCATACTTATTGCCGATGAAAAGCATATACATAGTTGTAATGACTAGTTTCATTATTTTTATCTACATATAAGTAAACTTAGCCTTGACTGAAATAAGACTTAACTTTCGCGCGTTTCGTTGCATGACCAATTTTGAATTTTAAATACTAAGACAGTGTCATATTTGAACAAATTCATACCAAGCTTTTAGCAAAAACATCTAAATTCACAACATATTGCCAGGTTCACTTCTAGTAGACGCGTGATACATTTGTTTTTGGGGTATAAAACTACTGAGCGAGGGGGCGCCACCTCTCCATGTCGTTCCGGGCGGGCCCACCCTCGCGTAGACCGGCTGACTCGGCGAGACCAGGTCGGGCGGATTTCCCGACGATCCCTTCCGCTCCCTTTTGTTCCGTTTTAGGGTGTGCGTCGTTGGGAAGTACGAGTCCGAGTAGACGCTCCTGTTGTAATATCCACCGTTGATCGCCGGGTAGATCGGCTCGTCTGGGCTGCTTGATGCGCAGTTTGGATTCCAACCCTGCTATAGAAGGCATTAATATGAATTAGTATTGAATTAGAATTACAAGGAATAATTATATCTTAAAGTAAATTTAATTACGTGTTTTCTTTATTTAGTATTAACTAACAATATTATTATAATATATTACTTCGGCGTTGAAATTGGAACTGTCCTGAGACGGAATTTGATATGCTTATATAGTGAAAACTCGAGTGTTTCCGAGTGGTCGCGAGTGTCAGCTCTTATTTTATAACGCGAACTTGATGGCGGATAACTATCTTATTCTTTGTTATGTTGTTTAGTTGCCTATAATCTACGCAAAACCTTGCGCTGCCATCTTTCTTCTTTACTAGCACTACAGGCGAGGTCCAATCCTGGGTTCAACTTCAAGGCCTGCTGGATGGTTCAATTATTCCTTGACTAGCCATGTCGCTGATGATGTTCTCACTTTCGTCGCGTGGTAGTCTTCTTGAATGTTGCTTATTGAGTTGGGCCGACAAATTCTTTCTCTGAAGCAAACACGTCTTGGAAGCGGCAAATTAACCTTTTAACCTGGTCCTTTGACTTGTTGTCAAATTTCTGCATGATGCTGTGATCATGGTTTGAAGCCTTTCTAAACCCTCCAACTTGTCATCACTTTTGGCTGTATTCACCCAATGCGCGACTACTGGGACACGCGTCCCAATCTCGGTGCCTTTCTTTAACTTGGTCGGGGATGAGTTCAAATTCATCAGTCGAACAGGTTTTAGTTGTTTAGCATTTACTAGCACCCTATCAACCAAAATTCCACGACCCACATTGGTATAATTGGGTTCTGTCACCCCTGGAGACATCCATCCACGCGAGCCATCACAACTTTCTCGCAAGACTCCAGCGGGATGACATCATCCACAAGCATAGCACGTAGCAGCCCATCTTCTTCTCTGTGAATAGGAACTTCTTCATGATTCATCGATAGATCGTTGATTCGAGTTTTCATTTCATTTTCTACTGTATGAATTTTGTAGACACTCTGTATCTCACCTTGCACAATACCTCTTATTTCGTGGTACCCCGCTTCTACTTTAGTTTCCGTGGTGGTTCGTCGACCGGCTTCAATTTTAGCTTAGATTGATTATTGACCCGCTTCGGTTTGTTTGTTGACCGGTTTTCATCTCATCTTGACCGGCTTCCAGTTCATATTGACCACCTTTCATTTTTTGAACTAACTGCAGCAGTTGTTCCATTTTTTCTGGCGTAAAACTGGCCATTATTGGCATAAACTGTCACTAATTTTTCACTTAAACACAACCCCACACCTGACACCAGTGTAACGTAGATTTAATTACATGCTTTAATTATATGCAATTAATTAAAAATAAATTCTTGAAAAAAATTGATTTATAACAGTTGACTGGGCTCCGACACATCTAATAAAAATTTCCAATCTTGGACCCCCTTCTTAGCTTTTTTCCGTAATTTAAGTGTAATTTAAATCGGTAGCAATTATAAATAGCTGAATACCCATTCAATATTCGCTCGCGACCCTCCGGTAGTTTGGGAAATACTGATTTATAAGTTAAAATATTAATCACTCGCATATATTTAAAACAGCGCACACTATTTATTACTTCGGGGTTGAAATTGGAACTGGCCTGAAACGCCATTTGATTTGCTTATATAACTCGAGTGCTACCGAATCCTTCCGAATCTTCTCGAACAAACACGTCTTATTTCCCGGAAAGATTGCGCCACATCCGCCTTCGTTCTTTAACGCAGATGACTACTCTTTCATGGCGCCTCGATGTTTATCGAGATTTTGCTACAATACTATTTTTTTGTTTTAGAAACTTGGTAGCTGCTCTTGAGAGCAAAAGCGGTTGTAGTATTAGAACAAAGAATAATTGTAAATAAAGAAGAAGTTGTTGACATACCAAAGAGTTTGCGATTCGCCGCGAACCAGTGACGAGGGTGGTAGTCGCGTAAGGAGCGGGCGAGGTGGCGCCGCTAGGCAAAACGGCCGTCGCACTGTCCACTTCCGCGTAATCGGCAATGGACGTTCTTCCAGAGTCGATGCCCAAGGTGGGACTCGCGTAATCCTGCACCTGCATATTGCTGTAATCCTTCAGGTTCTTGTCGTAGTGCCTACTGATCTCCGAGAAACATTTGAAATTCTGATCGGGTCGACTGAAGTCGATTTGATGCATCGGATTCGGGTGAATGTTAACGTTACTATGGGCGGATTGGGCAAGTAAACCGTTCGGCGCGTTCAGGCTGTTGTATTCGCGCGAGTAGTCATGGGCGGCGAGTTTCGCGTATTCCGGTAACGTGCTGGCGTATTCGGGCAGACACTCTTTGTCCATCCACAAGGGCGCCTCCTGCTTTAAGGCTAACGGCGTACTCAATACGCCGCCATTAGACCGACTCGCCGGCAATGCTTTCTTTGCCAGCAACTGACGCCGCCTTACCAGCATCATGGCACCAAACAGTAGTACCATTACCGTTACCATGCTAATCAGCAGCGCCATGAACCACGTTTCCGTCACGAACTCTCCTGGTTGCATTTCCGCGCCAATCGGTCTAGAATAAAGAATGTCTAAAAAAGCAAAGCGCAATGGTACGACTCACTTCTGCTGGTGCTGGTCACTGACACGGCTCGCTGGATCCAGCCGTAACATAGCAGGTACGCTGAAAGGTCCCACTCCAGCCCGAGTTGTAGCGGCTACTCGCACATGATAAGTAATCCCAGTTGTCAAGTTACCCAAGAGTAATGTCGGAGTGCCACCAACAGTAACCGTCTCTACTTGGGACTCTGACCTGTTAGCCTTAACCTCCACGCGATACCCTTGCAGTTCCCCATTTAACGAAGCGAGAGGCGGACATCTCCATTTTAAATAAACAGCGGTAGAGTTTAACAACAGAGCTTCCATATGAGACGGGGATTCAGCAGGAACTGTAACCAAACGTTAATACCCGCAAACAACCGAAGGTAACCTACCATCCTCCAAAGTACGTACAATTCTAGAATTGGAAGGCATCCCTTCCACAGTCTTATAAAAAGGCACAAGAAAGAATTCATATCTAGCCCATTTAGCTAAATTACTGACCGTAAATGCGGAACTACCACCGGTATGCAAAACGGTAAGCATACCATAACTCCTAGGCATATCTGGGGCGCCGTCAACAGGTACGTAGTATATGTACAACCCTTCCACGTACTGTGCGTCGATAATCTCCCAGACTAGCTTGACCGCCGTTGATAGTACTGGTATCGTCTCCACCAGATGGGCGATGTTATCCGATATTAGGCTGGCTCTAGCCTCGCTTATTTCGGTCACCTCTGGATTGCCCCAATTGAGCGCCGAATCGGTGCCGACGAATATCGGTTCGGAAAGCTGCGACGGTGGACCGAGTCCGTGCGCATTTTCGGCGCGTACTAAAAAAGTGTACGCAATTCCGGGCGTTAGCAGGTGCTGGGTGAAACTGGGACCATGAACCCGTCGCCCTACCACGGTCCACGTCGGAGTCACACCTTCTTCCTTGCCGAAGAGCTCAATCTGATAGCCGAGCAGACTGGAAGATCCGATCTTGTTATTTTGCGCCCAAGTGATCGTGACACTTCCCTCGGATTGATTCAGAACGTGAGGTCGACTGGGCGGACCCGGTAGCATGACGGCGTCGGGGGCTTTGAAAAAGTTAATGTTGGGGTTTTTGGGGTTTTCGACCAGGAGGTGACCGGACCACGTCGCTTTTCCCCCTTTCGAGGACGCGACGCAGGTGTAGACGCCCGAATCCTCTTTTGCCAGGTGCGAGATTTCGAGCTTTCCCGGTTTGGTCATTTTAATTTTATCGTTTTGCATCACGGGAATGTCGTCCTTGTACCAGTCTATTGCCGGTTCGGGATTACCGGTGGCGTCGCACGAGAGGACAGCGAGCGATTGGATCGGAAGGCTTTGGTTAACGGGGCCTCGAATTATGACGGGCGGTGGGCGGTCTTCTTTGGAGGTTACTGTAAGTCGGGTCCTTGCCGAAGTGGAGCCGGCCGAATTTACCGCCGAGCATGTGATGACGGTGCCGGAATTTTGAATTTGAGCGTTTCGCAGTATCAGTGTTGAGTGGCCGTCCGAGGAGGCAAATGCTTCGAAATTACCTGAAGGTGTGCCAGGGAATATCAGGCTGCGATCGCCCTCGAACGACCAAAACACAAATGGGCGCGGGTTACCTTGAGCGTTACATTGAAAAGAGACCTTCTGGCCTGTTTCAACTGTTTGTGCTAGCGGTTTCGTATTAAAAGACGGTACCGCGTGAACAGTTAGGGTGGCCGATGCTGTTAAAGCTCCCGCGGGGTTGTCGGCCTCGCAGGTGTAACGACCCTGGTCTTGTAACGTGATGCGTTCGAGGCGAAGACTGCGATCTTCCAGCACTCGCACTCTGCCCAAAGGCATGGTACCGCCTGGCGAGTTTCTACGCCAGAGCACGTCTGGAAGTGGGTCGCCTCCTACTCCACATGAAAACTCCACCGTGGAGCCAACTAGCGCTGTGATGTCTTCTGGAGGTCGTACCAGAAAAGGTTTAACTGTAACAAAATTCCATTTAATAATCTCGTTAGTGCAAAAATCTACGTTCAAAAACCCCAAAAGCTTTTATTTTATTTTGATCAATACTAAATGTATGCCATATACAGTGCGTTCGAGATATGAGGGTCTCTTTATGTGGCGAGGTTTAAACGGGCGGATAAAATGATTGTAATAGTGTAACGGTAGCTCTTAATTTCGATTTAATTGTATCGAATTTTTATACAGATAGGTAAAGGATTTTTTTAATGTTCCCAGCAGTTTAGGCAAATGTCAAAATTAGAGGGTCGAATTTCTCAATAAACTATATTTGGAGGAATTGTAAAAGTCCGTACGTAGTTGGCAGAGTTAGCGGTCGCTTTTGTTAGACGTCAGTGACCTATAATATATACGCAGCGACCTCATAACTAGTTCCGGTGTCGCTCGCTTGTCCGGCATCTTGATTAAAATTGCGAATTAGGATGGTGGGAAATGAGAGGTGGCATATTTGATTGTACTTCAATTTGATTTATTAACCTAGCTCTCGTTTAATAGGTGGTGCACAAACGAATCAACGATTAAAGATGGCGAATGGAAAGAAACCATTTTGTGAGTGGTAGTAAATCAGAAACGACGGTAGGGATCATTACGGTGAAAACTGGTAGGCATTCCTCCTTGGGCTACGAGATAGTTGTAGTACGTGATCCAAGATAATAGTTTATTTTCGAGCACTAAACGCAAGATCAATCTGTTTCTAGGCTGCGAAAACAATTATCGTACAGTTCAGAGTAAAGCTTTAATTTGGATCGGTACCACGCGGTGTAGTTCAAGTATATACCAGGGTTGGGGTCATGGCAACTATTTTTTCTGTCACATTTAAATCACGATTCCACAAAATAATAATTTTCACCAGGTAGTATGGGACCTTATACACTTTCTTTTTTTGAGGCCGGAAAAAAAATTGTCTGAGATCGACCGGGAAAAAACATTTTCGTATAGAATTCGGCCCGTAGAATCCATAATTTCAAACAGTTTGAAGATTGGGTTACTAGATCAAAAGCTACAACCCTTTGAATTATTTTTCGAAATTGTTTTTTTGTCCATAACTTTTGATTGAGAGGTCTAATCAAAAAAGTACGAATCGTTTTGGATTCTACGCACCAAAATTAACAAATAAATGTGTTTTTCCCGAGAAATTTTGGACTAGTCGATTTTTGGTAAAAATGAAGGTTATACACTTGCCTTTTTTGGGGCCGGAAAAAAAAATTGTCTGAGATCGACCGGGAAAAAACATTTTCTTATAGTATTCGGCCCGTAGAATCCATAATTTCAAGCAGTTTGAAGATTGGGCTACTAGATCAAAAGTTACAGCCCTTTGAATTCTTTTTCGAAATTGGTTTATTGTCCATAACCTTTGATTGAGAGGTGTAATCGAAAAAGTAGGAATCGTTTTGGATTCTACGCACCAAAATTAATAAAAAAATGTGTTTTCCCGAGAAATTTTGGACTACTCGATTTTTGTAAAAAAGGAAGGTTATACACTTGCTTTTTTTGGAGCCGGAAAAAAAATTGTCTGAAATTGACGGGGAAAAAACATTCGCTCGCTGAGGACGACCAGTAAGTGTTCGGAATGATGTGTCGCGTACAGTAATTGACCAATGCATGGAATCTGACAGAAGATGGACAGTTCTTGAGTTACAGGCAGAAGCCATCGACACTGCGCGTGACAATGCTAAGCAGGGATACCGCAGGTGAGAAAGAAGGGGAAACTAAGAGGGCAAGTTGTCTCTTACGGTTACGCATCTGATTGGGTCTTTCAGCAGAAGCGATCGCGGTCGCATTCAAATGAAATTGAAAGAACCAATCAGACGCGTAACCGAAAAAGACAGCTTGCCCTCTTAGTTTTCCCGTCTCTCTCACCTGCAAAATCCGCGCTTATCATTGGCACGCGCAGTCAATTTATTATACGTCGATGGCAGAAACAGGCCCAGAAAAATGCCCATCCATCAGATTTTAAGAGAAGACCTTCATCTGCGTAAAATTGCTTCGAGGTGGTTGCTACATGCACTCACTATTGAGAAGTCTAATCGAAAATGTACGAATTGTTTTGGATTCTACGCCACAAAATTAATAGGAAAAGGTGTTTTCCCGAGAAATTTTGGTGTAGTCAATTTTTGGTAAAAAGGGAAGGTTGTACAGTGTACACTGCCTTTTTTTTGGCTTGAAAAAAAATTGTCTCAGATCGACCCGAAAAAAAATTTTCTTATAGACTATGGCCTGTAGAGTCAACATGCTGCAGAAAATTTTGGGACAGAACTTGCGAACCAAAGCTCAAAAAAATAGTTACCATGACTTAATCATTAACCCTCGTAGATTTTGTACTTTTTCGGGTGACTAAAGCATTGAGGAGAATTAATCCAGGAAAGCTTTGGAGAAGAATTCGGTCTTTTGGTCGCGGGAGCATTAATTTCGCAGTTCCAATTTACCAGCTAGATAAAGTAGTACCTACTAAGCGAGTTAAGTGAATGTGTCATTTATCACAACACAATAAAGAATTATAGTGCAATCGACCGAAAGAAAGGCTATCGTGAAATATGCACGTCTCAGTATCATAAATTAAAACAACCGTTACAATGCGTTACCGAATGTCGTTAGTGAATGACAGGGGATTGAACTTTGTCCGTGAAATAGTGAATTTTCAGGATACTAGAAAAGGCCAAATCTTCAGTAAGTCAATCGCAGTAAAAATTGTGTTATGAGCTAGCCGTTGATAAAAATGTTCGAGTTCATTTAGAGAGTCTAAATAATATTTCTTGCACGAAACTTACCATGGACTTTTATCACAGCTATAGCAGACTCCCGAATTCCGGCAGTGTTTCGCGCAACGCATTGATATCTCCCATCATCAGACGGTTTCGCATCAGTTATTGCCAAACTGGACCCATCAACCAACCGCAATCGCTTATCCAAATCGAGCGTGTGCCCGTCTTTTCTCCACGTAACCTGCGGCTCCGGCGTACCCCGCGGAGGTCCGCACTCCAATAGCACGTCCTCGCCCGCCGCCACTCTCGCACTTTGCGGCTCCAGCCGGAACTCGTCACGAAGCACTGAAAAAAAAGAAGATTATTTATTAAAACGAGTGAAAATGAGAATGACAAAATTTATTCGCCTTTTTCCTTGCTTGGCAGGCATTTGCAGACAACCGTGTAAATCCCTCACATCCCCTAGGTAAAGCTCGCAGCGAGGAGACATCCGTATATACGGCCCTTCGATAAGCTTAGCGGATTTCAGTTTCTTTTCGGAGTTTTCATTTAGTTGGCGGGCCTTTATTTCCGAACTTCAATTTAAGGAATTGATGTTTTAACTTCGCAGATTGGACGCGGAATCTTGTTTATTTCGCAACAAGAATGGCGAATTTACGAGCGCTTCCCTTTTTCTTTATTATCATCCCCGCAGTAAATTTCATGATTAACTAGCGATTTAATACACCGTACATTATATTTTTATGGGGGAGAAATTAAGTTTATATCTTTATTAGGACGATGGCGTCGGATGATATTGACGCAACTCTCAGTCAATTGGTCTGGATATAGCAAGACATTCCCTAACTCATTATTTTAGGTTGTAGAATGGGACAGTGGAATCGCCATTCCATTGGTCGCAATTGTCATGTACTATTAACCTATTAAACTTAATAAAAGGCTTAGCAAAGTAAAGGAAAAAACATGGAGATCCCCAAGGTTCCCATTTACGACCAATTTTATTTATTCACCGTTGCTTTTATTATTGTACGGAAAGTTTGCAACGTTACCACCAAATTAAGTTACTTTTTTTTTATTGAATCAGCGATAACGTTTCCATAATGGAGAAATTCGCACATACTCCCATGAGGCTATTGAAGAAGCTAGGGGGTCTCTTCTCAGGATCATTTACTCTGGCGACGGGATTGGAAGTTTGGATGACCTGCGATTCACTACGTTTCAGAAGCTGGCGTCCACAAAGTTTTGGGGGTGGTTGTCCAGGTCCCAGGGCCTCTTCCCCAACTCTATGACAACAGATTGCGCTCCACAAACCCTCCTTCTGTGTTTGCAAGGGAGGTTGCAGCACTGCAGGCTGCTCTTGCAAAAAAGCAGGTTTGAAGTATTCCTCAATTTGCAAGCACTGTACGGCGGTTTCGTGTGAGAACTTCCAATACATCTTCACTATGAAGACGAGGAAGAGGAGGTGATGGACGTCGTTGAGAAGACGCATGAGGGAACAACGAACCCAGAACAGGACAACGAGATATATCTTCCACCCCCTGCCCGTGAGGAACCAACATCTGCTAAACGTGCGCGCCGCTCTTCAAGAAATATACATTTTTTTGCACAAATGTTAAAAAATTATTCTTGTATACAAAAATAAGATTAATTAAAATACAGGATTAAAAAAATGTTTGCTTTGTTTACTTCTCTTTTATATCTCCAGGTAACGAAACTTCATATTCAGACCAACTCGAGCCATGAAACTTGCGTAGAATACAAAACGATTCGTACTTTTTCGATTAGACCTCTCAATCAAAAGTTATGGGCAAAAAACGAAATTCAAAGGGCTGTAACTTTTGAACTAGTAGCCCAATCTTGGAACTGTTTGAAATTATGGATTCTACAGGCCACATTCTATAAGAAAATTTTTTTTTCGGAACGATCTGAGACAATTTTTTTGCGAGCCTCAAAAAAGGCAGTGTATCTATTACCTTTCTTTTTTACCAAAAATCGACTACACCAAAATTTCTCGGGAAAACACTTTTGCTTATTAATTTTGGTGCGTAGAATCCAAAACAATTCGTACTTTTTCGATCAGACTTCTCAATCAAAAGTTATAGACTAGAAACCAATTTCGAAAGAAAATTCAAAGGGCTGTAACTTTTGAACTAGTAACCCAATCTTGGAACTGTTTGAAATTATGGATTCTACAGGCCACAGTCTTTAAGAAAATTTTTTTTTCGGGTCGATCTGAGACAATTTTTTCTTCGGCCCCAAAAAAAAGGCAACCTTCCTTTTTTCCAAAAAATCGACTACACCAAAATTTCTCGGGAAAACACTTTTTCTTATTAATTTTGGGGCGTAGAATCCAAAACAACTCGTACTTTTTCGATTAGACTTCTCAATCAAAAGTTATAGACTAGAAACCAATTTCGAAAGAAAATTCAAAGGGCTGTAACTTTTGCACTAGTAGCCCAATCTTGGAACTGTTTGAAATTATGGATTCTACGGGCCACAGTATATAAGAAAATTTTTTTTCGGGTCGATCTGAGACAATTTTTTCTTCGGCCCAAAAAAAAGGCAGTATATCTTCCTTTTTTACAAAAATCGACTACACCAAAATTTCTCGGGAAAACACTTTTTCTTATTAATTTTGGGGCGTAAAATCCAAAACAATTCGTACTTTTTCGATTAGACTTCTCAATCAAAAGTTATAGACTGGAAACCAATTTCTAAAAAAAATTCAAAGGGCTGTAACTTTTGATCTAGTAGCCCAATCTTCAAACTGTTTGAAATTATGGATTCTACGGGCCAAATTCTATAAGAAACTGGTTTTTCCCGGCCTCAAAAAAGCAAGTGTTTAAGGTGCCTCAAAGAAGTGGTAAAATTTGAATTATTTCTTTAATTTCTTTCTCAGCAACCATAAGAGTTACAACGATTCTTTGCATATCTGATTTTGCAAACATTTTTTAAAGAGCGCACCCCTAAATGGGAGTGCGAAAAAATCCTGAATTCGTGAAATTTGGTATCTGGGGGTTTTTGAACATGAAAATCACGAATTTGGAATTAGTTTTTGAAAATAAAAAAAAAATCTACTGCAATTCTTGGCCGGATATCGAAAATGGAGGGAATTCCACGAAATTTGTTGTGCACATGCTTGATGAGTTAAGGAACAAAATTGTCTAACAGTTTTTAAAAATCCATTTTAAAAAAAAAGTTATACTCATTTGAAGATTGGTCCTTCGGGCCGGCTCAAATAGATAACGACTCCATTTCATTCCCATTTGTGAAAAATAACATTTCCGAAGTCTCTTACATAAAATACACGAAATACACTGTTAATCAGACGGACCTTTTCCAGTCCAGAAGGTATCTGAAGGTCCTGGATACGGTAACCTTAGACTAAAGTTGTATTTCCACATGAATGCCGCTAAGTACCTTTACACTACCGCCTCTACACGGAGGAAACAGTTAGAGATATTAAAAAGGCAGATTCATACCCAAAGAATAGAACTCGCTAATGCCGGTGTCTCTACGCTACGCCACGCTACGCCACGCTACGCTACGCTACGGTGTGTCACGCTAAGGGTGCCTGTAGCTTCAAATTTGAAATTATTTCTTAATAGATTACGTTCGCTATCTGCACATTATACAAATACAATGTATCTTGTGTTTTCTATGTAAATGTATTTGATTTTGCCTTAAATTTAAAAAAAGTTGTTGAATTATTGCTTTAAAAAAATGTTACCTTTTGCTGATATGGGGCGCGCAAAATTCTTGAGGGCTTAGGGCGTTGTTGACTCTTAATACGCCACAACCCTTCCATTTTGTAAAATTGTAAGTGCTTTGTTAGTACATACAAAATGGGCCTAAACCAAGGTGTGGGTACAAGAAGTTCGAAAAGGTTTTATTTTCCCACTGTAGCGACGTGAGATCCTTGATCAAGGAGTAACCATTTTTCGGTTTCGGTTATTTTGATAATAAAGCATGTTAATAGCTGGAATTACAGCTTATGTAATGAAGGCATATAGTTATTACGTAAACTAAACCTCCCTTGTGAAACGTGCCGAGTTCGTATCCTAGAAATTAAGTTCGTTTCGCACGACTTTCCATGAAAAAAATTGAAACCACGTTGTCTCGCCTTAAATCGATTTTGATGGTATCTTCTAAGGGTGGTTTTTTTCTGTTAGTTTTGTCAATTATCTCAAGCTCCATTTTGGAAAACTGGCATACATAATGAAACTAATCGCCTATTAATTTTCGAAAATTTAATTATTTTCAGATTGAAGTTATAATAAGAGTGCGTCATCCGGAGATAATTTAGTCTATAATTGTATTAAACTCCTTGGGCAATTCCTGCTCGTTCCCGATAGATTACAACCCTCTATATATATTTTTTTTCGAACACGAAATTGAATCCGATTTAACTTCGACGCTCTAGTAATTATTTTCAGTCTGGCCATATTCGCGAGTAACGCTATTAATTTTTTTTTCAAATTCTTTGATTTACAGCCCGAAAGCGGCGTACTAGCGCTTAACGTCGCCATTAACACTCCACAACCGGCGAACATACGGCCTTATAAAACGTAATCGCCTATTATCGCATTTAAATTGCCCTTAAATAAAAATTAATGTTGCCATACATTCAAACTACAGTCAATAAACAGGAATTTAAAGTCAATTTTGAAGAGAACGCGAGTGCGCCAGGAAATTGAGATAGTTGCCGAACGTGATTGCATCGAATTGGCGTAGATATATCAATCAGCAATTCTCATTTCCTCTCATCCTTTAGGATTTTTTAGGGATCGAAATGACCGCGTACGCTTGATTTGTTGTCACTTATTCGAACGAAAAATCCTCTTTCAAATTAGGGCCATCAGTTACTTGCTGACGTTTAAACTAAGTGCAATTTTAACTCGAGGTGTCAGGATAAGTTGGATGAAGGTATTCTGCTCATAAATGATCACGTAACTACGTCATTTGCACCTCACCGTCAAAGATCTACTATTTTACTTTAATTAGTGCATTGAAAATGGCACTTCTGCATTTCCTTTTCCAGTTTCCAAACACCTAATAACTACTAGCCATCTCTACTGCCGTTCTCCTTTGCATAGTTCTTGAATCCACGATATAGTTCTAGTTATGTAAGGGGTCTGTCTAAAAACCGAATTGATTCTAAAACCGTGGTGGCAAATGAAGATTGCTCAAGCTCACCGAACTGAAATGAAACGGAAATTGGTGTCCTTGGTGCTTTCAAATGTCTTAAAAATAATCGCTATGGCTACTGGCTAGTATAGAAACCACATGTACGATTCTGCCCTTTTATGTGTAAGAAATTTGGTTCCAATTGGTACAGCGTTTAGTCGGAAATGAGAGTACAGACCGACAGACTGATCGAAATCATCCGGATTATGTTTGATTAGGATTCCTGGTGCTTCAAAACGTGTATATCCGTAAAAAAACGTGAGGGGTAATTTTTTTCCCCAATGCAATACCTCCCTTACTAACATGCAGGTGGTAAAAATGAAGCCCAATGAAAGCTTTTCATTCATACTGTGTGGGTTTGCGACAAAATCAGACACAAGGTTTGTAATGAAACCTGTGGTTAAAGAAACAAAGTAGTTTTGCACGAATTGAAAGATAAACAGTTGTAATTAATGATAAAAAGAAATGTAATTTAACATGGCCAGAGGCAACATGACATTTTTACCACTCACACGTCAGTAAGGGAGGTATTGCATTGGGGTAAAAAATGAAATTTTGTTGATTTTAGCATCGGTGTGTTCCATGCGGTGTACGAGCAACACAAGAAGAGCACGAAGTTCATTTACAGTGTAGCTAACAGACATAGAAGTAATGGTGGTAGGAATAATCCTGGATAAAAGGGGAAAGTAACATCTGATGAGGGTGATAGAATTATGAGTGACTTTAAAAAGCCAATACGTTACCTATGACAGTTTTAGGGTAGTCAAATACTTAAATTTTATATTTTGTAAAAAGAACCATCTGGCAGATGCTAAGAACTGTGAAGTAATTAAGGGTGATATTGGACTGTGATTTAAAGATCAAAAGGAACCGAAGGGGAATGAAACAATAGGGATACAATAAGAGAGATGGGTGAAGTGACTGAAGTATCAAGAAAGATTTAGGCGCGAAGACTACAATGGTTTGGACATGTAATCACTAATCAGAAGGGAAGAAGGATATGTTGGAAGAAGGGTGAGTAGAAAGCAAGTGGAAGGGAGAATGCGGCGAGGAAAACCAAAGAGAAAGCGACTGTGTCTTATGGCCGTTTGCACCGACAAATTTAAGTGGAACTTAGCTTAAGCGTAGCTTAAAATCCATGGCAACGATTATTGAGACAATGGTTGCCATGGATTTTAAGCCGCTTAAGCTAAGCTCCACTTAAATTTGTCGGTGCAAACGGCCATTAGAGGACTTGAGAGAGAAAAGGATAAATGAAACAGGAGTGAGTAGAGAACAGAAATACACGTGTTAAAGCACCAG